CCTTGCATGTTTTGAGGCATTAACATTGCAACTAATAAAATTCTTACCAGTTGCTAGACAGTTGTTCTTGTGATGTGACCTGTTAGATTGCTGAACTCCATGTGGCTTTTCTCACACAAAAAAATTCCTGAATAAGGTGTTTTAATGGGATGAGTCCTGTAGGATGCCTTTACCAGGCACATGCACATTCGGTCCCTATATTCAGACTGCTGTACTCAAGTATTTTATTATTGCTTAATTCTGTAATGTTACCTACATTCTCTTTTTTTTTTTAACAGCCAGCTTGAACTGCATCGCTAATAATCACAAGCAATCTCTATGTAGCATCTACCTACATTAGAGTAGCAAGGGTAGAGTTAAAATTTCCTAAGGGTAAGCTAAACATTAATATCTGTGCAGTGAAGCTTCATTATTACTGTTCTGGTGTGCTGAGCAGGTACTAAGAGTTTTTAGGATTTTGAGGAATGTTCCTCCTTAAATTAAAGAAAGATCAGTTGACTAATGTAAGCAGGAAAAAAACCCTTCAATCAGTACAAAAAAAATTTATTTTTTAAGCATTCAGCCCATATACATGTGACCAAATCTCTTTGACCATAGAAAATAAGACTGTTCCATGATATACTTTAAGCCAAGTTTTAGCCCACAGAGGATTTTCATAGTTAAATTTGAAACCCCTAGAAAACATTTTAAGTACTGATACCACTAACATGTGGTCTGTACAGTGCCCTAAAGAGGACAGAGAGCATAATGTTCCATAGAAATGGCACGCTTAACTTGTACATTATGGAAAGTAAATTTAATGATGAAATAGTCAAATCACACATTTAAGTATATTACAAGTTTACTTACTGTATGAGCACTGTTAAGTCTTGTTTACAGGTCTGCATTCCTCACTACCAGCCAAGATTTTTCAAGTCTTGGGTAAAATGGTTTGAAGTGGTTTCCCAGTTGAGTTCCCTAAACACTTTCCAGGCCCTTGATTCCTGTCCCCAAGCTATGGAAAGAGAGGGAAACTCAGCAGATAGATACAATTTAGCGTAACAGTTACCTCTACAGCCAGGCAACAGCATTAGCTGAGCAGTACTGTAACAACAGTGCTGGAAGCGGTACTGCAAAACCCAAGCTACTTGTAAGCACAGGTAGTGTTTTGTTATACTAACTTCAGGTTGAACCTGTGTTTAGTAGGTGCAATGCAGACACCTTAAACAGGTCTGACCAAGGGTGGAGCAAGGCCACACGATTACCTGGTTGAAGCTGAAGGTCAGTGCATGCTGCTTCCAGATGCTGACACCCTCAGCCTCCAAGATGATTTTTTCCTCCCCTACCCTACAGAATCTCTTGTACAGGATCTTTTGCCAAATGAAGTAACAAAACACTGCTCTCTTGCAATATAAGAGGGGAGGGATGGCAAAATTAGCAAGATAAATACACAGCTACCACCTTCCCCCTCTTCCTCAGGTGAATTTAGCCATCCCTGAAGAATGTTAATATAAATGCTAATGCTTAAAAAGGCAAAGTGTGTCACCAGATAAATATATTGGAATTCACAAATTACTTAAGTTTCTTCTCAAGAAATGCGTTAAGAATGCACCTAATGACAGTTACTGCATTTTTCTCTTTGGCTTTCAAATCTATGTCTAGTTTATCCTCAGCAAACAGCCTCCACAATGGATGTGCTGTTTTAGGGAAATAAGTGGTTCCTTTTCAACAGGTTAAAATGATAGGTCTAGGCTCCTACACCTGCAATTTGACTAATAACTTCTGACCTTGAGGGCTACCGTGGTTCTGACTATTGACCCCCCTGACTTGAAAGCCAAAATCCACTGTATCCTGCAAAAAATACCTACTCTGAAACAGCGGAGTTGTGCACAGACATTAAACCAAGAATCCATGCAAAACACAGCTGCAATTCAGTTTGGTTTTAAAAGTAATTCAAAGTTGCATACTCGGGTCAGCCAAGATGCTGATGAGTCAGTTGACAAAGCTTTTCATGTCTTTTTTTTTACTGAACTGAAGCCAGAAAGATGAAGGAAACTAACCCATAGTAGTAGTGGCAGTTTCCCCTCGTTCCCGGGTGAGGGTACTCTTTGCTAAAAGCATGCATACTGACAACATCATTAAGGAAGTACATGTCAATGTAGAGTCTTCAGCTTTTATCCTTTATTACATACACAGCAAAGAAGGCAGCATTAGACACACGCACAGTGTGTTACATCCATTCCATCCACAGCACTCGCACGCACACACGCATACACACAGCCTTAAAAAAAAGTGTCTGTGATATGGAACATCTTTGAAAGGTTGTGATCTCTAAGCCCCTGAGCTTTTTCTTCTAGTTAGGTGAAAAGGCAATGAACAAGTCTTTCCTTGCTCGCTCTGTAAGTGCTTTGTGCAACAATGTCCATAGAGGTCATAAACAAGTCTTTTGGGGAGGAGCAACATGAATGTCTTACTCCCATATTCTCAGTCTCTTACCACCGTTTTTGCACCCAATAGCTTCCAGTTACATTTACTCATTGTAGACGGCTAATATAGCTCTTGCTCCTGTAGTTAAAGTTAGGATCGGTTCTGCAGATCACAAATGAAGTGCAATCCCCTCTTTCTCTTGAGAGATGTCATCTCGGTGATCCTGTGGGACTAGAGAAGTTACCAGAATTTCGTGGGGACTGAAGAGGCACAGATGGAGAACTGGGAGACAGTTTTCTTGGGCTGCATAGGTCACCATTGTGCAACTTCCACAGAAGTTCTTCATTTTCCATTGACAGGCGTTTGTTTACCTTTGATTCTTTCTCTAGAGACTCCTGTAAAACGGCTTGCTCCGTAGAAAGTTGCCTGCAAACATAAGATTTACATCAGAACACATAACCCAAGGTGGAGGCTACAGTATTGAACTTAATTGTTAAAGAAAGGTTTGAAATTACATAAATGGCCTGCTTGGCTTACAGCTAAATTACTTCCTTAAAATGAGGATTTAGCATGTTCTCATCCTTGCTGGATTTCAGCTGACTGGTGGCTTGCAGAAAGCAGGAGAAAGTACTAGTAAGAAACATTCCCAAAGACCAGAAAAAAAGCATCCAAAAAGTGAGACTTGTCCTACTTATAATGACCAGTGTTTTTAAATGGCCATGCTGGAGCCTCCGGGTCTTGTTGCAGGCTCAGCTCTACACAGTAGCTGCATTTCTTTAGTTTCCTTCAAACTAGAAGAGTTTGCCCACCCCTTTAAGCAATAGCTGAAGTTAGGGGAAGCTCAGACCCATGTTACTCATGGTCAGTATTGTTTTTATTATTGCTAAATGAAACATACTGGTCTTTTCACTGATTTATGCTGGGGACAAATCACTCAAGTGGTTATAAGTAAAACCAGGTTTAGCTTACAAGCCAGTAATACTTAAAAAGCCAATCTATCATATGATGATATTTCTGAGTTGCTTTTTCTTCCCTGAAACACTGTTCTGGAGCACTGAAGAACACACTGAGCCTTTTCCCCCTTACAGTCTGTCCTTACTTGTTCTTCTGCTTAGGGATGCACATTTGTAGAGATACAAGCGGGGAAGAAAGGAGCGTGTTTTTTCACAAAGTACTACAACATCCCAGTCACTAGTATTTACACAGAATTTTCTTTCTTGTCACAGCAACATCCCTGGTTCGTAAGAACAACTAAAAGCGCACACAGATATTTTTCACCTTGAAAGCTCCATGTGTTTGTCCATCCGAGCTTTTAATTCTTCATTTTCTTGCTGAACCTTCTTTAATTTATCCATTAAAATCGTATTGTTCTCCAGCTTAGGAAAAAAGGTCACAGTTTAAAACAAAACCCATACATGCACTCATCAAGCTGCTGACTGAGCTATCACAGACAGTTCATAACCTGGAGTTCGCAGACCTTGTTGCGGTTAAGTGCAAAAACCTGGAGCAACGTGAGACTGACCTGCTGCCATGGCTTAATATTCTCTAATAGTCAAACAGATCCTACTTACCTTATCCTTGTGTAACACCGGCACTTTGCCACTTGTGCTGATTAGATGCCAACAAAGGAAGACTGGATAAGGGATCTACTAGTTAACCAGCACATTCTAGTAACGTCTGCCAGTGGCAGGAAGCAGTTTAGAAGCTGTTGCAGACAGAAGCCTGTCCAGAAATAACATGCTAATGCGACGGATTCAAGAGCTGCCCCTGTGCAAACAGCTCTCCCTGTTGCTCTCCTGCTTGCACTGCCTTGCTGCAGGACGTTATCGAAAGATAGGGAGAAAGAGCGATTAAACGGTTGGATGGTCCAACGGCTTCTGTGCTGTGGCCAACGCCTCTCAGAAATGTTGAAAGTTTACTAGTAATATACCAGTAATTGTAGACCAGGACAACATATGATGCTGTACAATACTAAGCAACTGACATGAATGTATTCCTTTGTATCCAAACCTCTTTCTATACTTCCTCATTAAAATCTTACTTAAGCCAGTATTACAACAGTGTTCGAAGGCCGCACCCAGGATAAGGACCCTGTCCTGCCACAAGTAAGCGCATGCGAAGCAATTACAAGTTCTGCCTCCAAAATTGCCCTTTCACGTGGAGTTACGCACAGATCAGGAGCGAATCCACACAGCTAAACAAGCAGCTTAAAGAGAATAGCTGAAATGATTGACTTAAGCTCATCGACTCTAGATGAAAACATTTATTCTGTTTCATACTTGATCCCTTCTTGTTTAATTAGGATCATTGCCACATCAGTGTTTTCCTGACAGTGCAATCTATCTTCCGTAACACTCCAGCAAACGTAACAGGTAAGGACTTTTTCTTTGGGGAATGGAGGAGAAGAGAGTGGTGAGGAAAGCAAATGCAGAAGAGGCTCCCAGGTAACCCTGTACTAACTCAGCAATAGCTTCTGCAAACCAGTAGTTGTCTTAAGAGGTTTTTTAAAATGTCATTGACAGCACTTGGTGATTCCTTCCCCCTCTTTCCATTATAAGCCCAATGCAGATATAACAGTACCTGCAATGTGACCATGTCCCACCATCATTTAATGTTTCCTTTTAAACAAAACAAAAATAATCTTCGCACATGAGTCTGACCAGCCCGAGTTCATTATCGGAACATAAAACTCAAGAGACATGGTCCAAGCCTGCCAGACCCCAAGGAAAACTCACCAGTTTTTCCATCTTCATTAGCTTGATATCCTGCTGATGGAGTTTCTCATTCTTGATCTCCAGCACTGCTTTCAAACTTTCCAGCTCCTGTTCCAGATACATAATCTGTGGGTTTTTCTGAAAGATTTCCAGAGAGTTTGTTTAGTACTGTGAATTTTAGGAACAATTTCAGTGTTTCTCTGTTATTTAGAAAGAGCAAGAAAATAAATATGGTAACAACAGTTACTTGTTCTAACTGAAATCAAGTCACACAAACAAACAAACAAATCTGCTACCACTTTCTCCTCTGAGTTTGTTTGTCCTTTGATGTAGGTGGGCAGTTGCAGTTGCCCTCAGAAGCTGTTCAGAAACCACTTTATGCAGAAACGTGAAAAACCCTTGTGAGCCCAGGGAAGACACTAAAGCTGTCACAGCAAAACTTGTTTTGCAAGAGTGCCCAAAGGTTCCCTTTAAGGCTAGGAGTTCCAAAATTTATTTCATATTACTCATGACCCATCCCAAGAGGTAATTGGAGTAAACATTTGAAGAGTTCTCAGATGCTGGAATAGTTCAACAAGCCCCAGAAATTTAAAGCTATGAACTTGACTGTAGCTGATTTTCCCCGTTTTGAGTCTGAAGGTAGCTGGTTCACAAGGAGAAATTGAAAATTTTTGCTTTTACGTTCTTCTTAAAGCCTAGCAATGCAACTGCACATAAAAATCCTGCACTGGTGTACATCCATGACACATCTACAACACAGCAAGTTAGGAATTTCTTTTTTATTTTTCCATTTTTTGTTGTTTTCCAGGAGGTGGAAGGGGAGAGCAGGAGGTAGACAGGGCAGGGTCAGATCCGGTTTCCTCAAGGACCTCTTTTCCAGAGTGAGGGACCATTCAAACACTGCAGAGTAAGACACATTCTCTGCATTTCAAAGGCAAAGTCACAGGCAAAAATAAGGAGAAATAAAGCAAGTCTCAGTCCATTTCCAGGTAGTCCAAGTAGAACACAAAGAGAAATCAATCAGTGATTAAGTCTGTTGTGTAACTAAGTTTATCTTTGAAAACAAACAAAACTTGTTTTAGTGCATTTGGGCCAGTGTACGGTGTTGAGCAACAGCTTCACTGCCACGTCGCAAGCCTGAGTTGGCGGACAATGCCTGCAGTTTTGCGGGGCGCAGTCCCCCAAGGCGAGAGCCAGTACATTTCACAGGTAACAAGGGCCTCATCACCTACACATTTAATTCTCCTGCCTGATTTTAAGGACTCTGGCATCAGCGATTCTTGTTTAATTTCTGCTTTTGAACAAAAGTCCTTGTGAGAGCGGGGTGTGCTGTGCTGCCTCAGAGGGGGAGGCAGACAATTTGAACTTCATTCCTCCCCTTTATGGCTTTACATGCAATCTAGGAACTAGTGAGAAAAGTGGTCCTGAAAAGTTTAAATGCAGCTTTTATAGTATATTCAAAATTTAGTATTTTTTTTCTTTCCCTCCTCTGCCACAATGGTTTTAAATGTCTTTTTAAAGTTAAATCTGAGCTACCACATTAGCTACTCATAGCAGAGCACACAGACGGGTAAAAAATGCCTACATAAGATTTTAGCAGAAAAGCTGGGAATATCAAGTGACACTGTCTAATAGCAGAAAGTTGGAAATACACCTCTGTCTTCAAAGGGTAAATGGGAATTCTGATAGCATTTGTGTTCAGTGCAGAACAACATACTGGGTCAAGTCAGTATTTTTTCCTAGAGAAGCCTCAAGCTTATGATGTGTCTCATGTTGTCAGGATGTATCTGCAGCTATGTAAAGGCACTTGACTATGATTCCTTTAAATTAAACAACACGCGAGCATGCCTGTGTAATACAACTCAAACTCTCAAGCGCCGTGTACAACGCTTTCTGTCTGGTATCGGCTCTCCCAACCACAGCAACATATTGCGGTTGCAGATTCTTTTTGTGGCAGCTCTGTCCTGCCACTAGAATAAACAGGAGGAGAAAAAATAAATTAAATTCCAGTGAAAACTAGGGCAACTTCTAGTAGAAGCATCCTAAGTGAGCTTTTAAGCGTGGAATTTATCTTTGTGGGATAAGCAACACTACTGGTATTTCAGTTATTTCCAGGTAACCCAAAAGAGAAGCATGTTTATGTTCAACCCTCTCAGTACACAAAAAACCTCTCTCAGAGCACATTTCTAACCCAGGACCATCACAGATAACAGCAGCCTTGGAGGAAAAGCAGGACATAAAAGAAGTTTATCAGCAAGAAGTATGAATCAAGGTTTGAATAAATGCATTAAAGACTCAAGTATACGAAGTGAGTTTTGTCATAGTGATGGAAGCCCGCACTATTAGAACATCGACTAGCTAGAAAAAAGCTATGGTACAACTAAGTCTTCAATTTAACTTAAGCTATAATTTATACCACTGACTTAGATATTCAACAGCATTAATAGATTTATAATGGTAAGGTTAATACACAACATTGTAGTGATTGAGAAAAACTTTTGGCAGGTGAGCCATTTACATGCGTATTAGTACGTATGGGAGCACTGTCAGGCTTGATTGCAAACTTTCATTTTATGCAATAAAATAAACCAAGGCTTACAAGATCTGCTCATCTGCATTACTTTTGAAGATTGAGACTTACAAGATTGGCTTTTTCTTTGGCTATTTGTTTTTGCTCTTCTAATTTCAACTTCTCACTCAGAGAGTCATTTTCACATTTTAATTCATCGATTTTTTTCTGGAATTAAAAGATACAGTATAGTTAGGCCAAGAATTCAGCGTGTATCTCCCAACTGCCTTTTAAGGTTTAGGCTGCTGAAATGACCCCAGCCCTTAACAAACCTCTAGCAATTCCTGCTTCTCTTTAAAGGAATCTTCAAGCGACTTCCGTTCAGATTCATGGGCGTTCTTGAGCTCTGCAACAAATTATTTTTGCAGATTTTTAATACTGCATGAGACATGAGAAGCTTTTTGAGAAGCAGCAGCACGAAAAGCCAGCCAATACACATATGCACAGATGCAGAGTCAATGATAACTCGGAAAGAACGTTTATCATCAACTGACCCAAAGCATGTACAAAGTATCGGATTTATTGCTGCTTCAGATTTGTTGATTGCCCCCTCACATAGCCATTTCAGTAGTTGACAGCGTGTCAATTTTGAAAGCATTCATCTACGTGCAACAAATGGATGAACTGGGCACAAGAGCCACATCTGACAAAAGCTGAGTTACTGATAGGAAACACAGCAAAAATTCAAATTGTGTCTTCCAGAAACTTCTACGAGAACATTTCCTTTCCTACTTTGGAGATGCCACGCAGAGGAGCTTGCTCTTTCATTGCAGCGGAAGCGTCACCAGTTTTAATGACGCAACAGTATCACTGGAAACCTGGCTATCGAGTGGAGCTAGAGGAAGGATGGAAATCATCATCGCTTAAATCAATTAGACGCAATACCATTTAAAACTGAGCACACTCACCACCACCTCCCTGAAAAACCACCTTTGCCCCAGTATGCTGTAAGGTATGCATAACGTTTCTCAACATTCCCGTGTCAGTTGGGAAAGCGCACAACCCTACTTATCCTCAGTTGCAATTTAGAGGTGCTCCTTATAGAACTAGGGGGGGTGGGAGCAATTACTCACTAACTGGAGATTTTGAGGGCAGAATGCAATTCAGACATATTTTACTGAAAGAAAAAAGTCATCTACACTCTCAAACTGTTTAAAGAGTTTCATTCAACTACAATGGGACCACAGTTATTTCTGCATGTAAAATGAGACTTGTTCAGTTCCAAAAGAAGGAATTCAGCCAACGTTTTTAAGATAGCTGACTGCCAAGAACAATGAAGTGGTCATATTGATGAAAAAGCTTCAATATTTTTGTTTGCTACTAGCAGTACTATAACATATGTACTTGAATACAAAATACTTGCCTGAAAAAGAGGATTCATACTCCTTTTTCAGCTCCTCTACTTTCTCTGAGTGGCTGTTCTCAAGTTCCAGCTTCAAGTTTTCATGTGTGATATTTAAGTTGTCCACCTGCAACATGACAACATGATTTTTCCCCCCCTTACATGTGTCAACTTAATCCTTGTTTAAAGCATTGTTCCAGTGGCTTTATGCAGTATGTTGAGTACTTTTTGAACAGTCTAGGTAGCACTTAACAAATGGTCACATGAGAAGCTAAGCCATATGCAACACTTAACAGATGAGAATGATGCCTTACAAGTTTACCACTACCAACAGGATGATGTGTGTATCTGTCGCACACAGGGAGTTGTTGCAAAGCAAGGTCACAGGCCAGGTGTTTCTCTATAAATCTTAAAACTCAAGCTGCTTCAAATATCCAGTGGAGCTCTAGAAGTCATTGAAATTTGCAGAACACAAGGAATCTCCGTCACATTTCAACACAAGCTTAAGATCTGGACAGCTTAGTGTGGTAATATTTTTACAAAATACAAAGTGGAATTTCACATTAGATAAAAATAACTCCATTATTAGCAAACCCCAGGATTCTCTGAAGGCTCATTTGTAGCAGAAAGCAATTGCTAGGGAACGTTTCTACTTTGAATGTCACAAACCTGCTCCTGGAGTTGCGCTTTGTACTTTTCAGCTTCTTCAATGCAGATACTTTGGAGTTTCTCACATTCTGCAGTGTAAAACTGTTTAAGCCTCTCCTCCAGCTCAGCTAAATCATTGTGATGTTGCTGGTTTAACTTCTGCAAAAATCCTTCATAAGCAACTTGGAGTTCATTCCTGTCTCTCTCCAATTTCTCACAAGCTGCAGAAGTGGTTACTGAAGATGCCAGAAGAAAAAAAAAAATAATAAAAAAAATAATTGGATCAAGTTCAACGCTAATTTCACCGTTTTCATTGCAAGCATTAAAGACAGTGAACACTCTGCACAGCAACATGGTTATACGAAGACAAATACGATTTATCCATTAAATGAGCACCAAGTCCAAGGACACATTAAAAGATCTTTGCAAAAATACCAGATTCAGTGTTTCTTATGCTCAGAATTAATTGAATTTAGTTAAGCCAGGAACCCATATAGAAAGCACAAGTGTGACAGTTTGTCATGACACAGAAGAATGAATGTCTCACAAGAGACACTGGAGTGCTCCAATAAAAAAAATTAATCGGATTTGCTACTTCACATAATTTGATCCCATTTCAGTAGCGTATTTGTTAAGAGTACTTCACTTTTTGATATATAAACCACTTAGCTAAATTTGAAAGTCTTCATATCCTGAAGACCATCCATTCAACATGCTACTCACACTCAGCTATGCAGCAGAAAAGCGATTCTAGCCTGACGCGGATGGCCTGATACAGAGCGATGCAGAACCGCCAATCTGAAACGCACTGCTAATAGGCACATGGCCAAGATATGCAAGATATGTACATATACATATGCATATGTACATATGCAAGATACAGAATAGTTTCAGGCAGAAAGTGCAGAGTATTAAGAAAACAGAAAGAAATGCTGTTGAATTCTCTTTAATATTAACACAGGTCAGCTAAGAAGACTGCCTAGGTTTGTCTCCCCGTATTTACGGCTGATTAAAAAGCAAACCAGAAGTTAGTACTTCTTGGACTTTTGAGTTTGAATTTAGCATTCCCAACTCCAGCCAGACAGGCCCAAACAGGAGGAGCCATTTTCCTGCTGTTAATATGACTGCAGCAAGCACCTTGTGCAGTTCCAGCTGCACCCAAAGCCTGGAAGCAAGGTGCAGCTTCCAGGACCTCTAACACAAGCCTGTGGTCACTGACTTGAAGCGAAACTGCTTCTATACAGACTCTCGTGCTTTGGTTTAAAATAAATTAGCCAGATGAGTATCTACTTAAGAAAAAAATCAACTAAAATGTTACCTTGATCTTGAATCAAATGCGGGAGAAGTCATGCATACGTACACTTTATAGGAGCCTGGCACACCTCCCACAGTATAAATACAAACTCTGTGTAAAACCATGGGAAGAGTCAAAGATTTTTCTAAAAGTAGTGCAAGAAATTCTCACCACAGCTGTGTTTCAGCCTTAAGATACATAAATTACAGTATCTTCAAGGACTGATTCCCCAAAGCAGTACTGGGCTGGGGTCTAGGGAGAGCAGCCTGTCCCAGCAGAGCACCTCCAGTTACACACGTGTTGGATTCCCTCTTCGCTCATCAAGAGCGAGTAACTTGATGAATGATACTTGCACCCTCTTAAGGAAACTTTAAGGCAGTCTTGGCCCTGCTGCCATCACTTAGAACTTGCAGTTGAACTGGAAAGTGTGAGAGAGTGAGCTGTATTGCGTGGAAATCAATCTGCATGTGTATCTACCTGAATTAGTTTTAACAGCAGGCTTAGCTCTGCGCTAGGTTTGTGTGAAAGATCTGCTGATCAGGACAGATTTAAGCCAAGCTGTTCATCCCGTGACTGGCAACGATGCAACTAAAGGCTCTACTGAAACATACCACAACATTCTCTGCAACCCAAGCAGATTTTGTAGTTTTCTGTATTTTCTATACCAGCACCAAGAAAGATTTTTATTTCTCTAGCTTTATTCCTTCCACAAACTTCTATAACAACTGTTCCCTTTGGGAAAAAAAAGGAAAAACTAGCATTCACACTTCTATTGCATCACATTTGTGTACCATTAATTGAACATATATATGCTTGTATTGTCACGTTTTTGGTGAAGAGAAAATATCATAGTTAGGGGATATTATTTCATAATGCCAAGAACCAGGCAGCGAGCCAAATGGAGACATTACACAGCCAGCCACATGCAGAATGGATCTGACCATCTCTAGCAGAATTAAGAGGGGTATAGCTGAGAAGCAGGCAACTCACCTGCCTCGTTTGAGATAACTATAGCAAAATGCTTCAAATGATCCACTGCCTTTAAAACCAACAGTGGAAGAAGCAAGCATCCAATTATTTGTAAGGCCAGACCCATTCATTTGCCTCCATTTAACTAAAAGAATGTGGTGCCTATCATTGTCTCATCTTTATATGTCAGCACGCAGAACTTCAGATGATGCAAAACACTTCAGAAAAAAAGCAAATAGCAAACCACGCCTTTGTCAAAGAAAATAGACACATCGGTTCTTGTTTGGCCAGTTTGCAATTCAAATCTATAAGAAGACCAATGTTACAAGGGCAAACAAAAACATTTAAAACTTGCAGTGGCAGTTGAATGTTGTGTTATCTTGACAGTAACATCTAGCTTCTGCAAAGCTGGAGGCCTCCTTGCAGATCGCAAACCTGACTTGAATCCTTGCCATCCAAACAAGGAGCAGGACCACCCCACCACCAGTGAGCTCCCAGTATCATGGTGGTGCAAGAAACTGCATGTCTAAAGCTTCCGCAAAAGCACCGATTGAAAAATTGTCAATTTGAAGTTATGAGAATTCCTGTAAACCAAAAGTTGTCCCCATACTCAAAATGCAGGTGTCTGCAGCAAGTATTTTGCACAGGCCTATCCATCTCCAGACTGAATCATATATTTTATGACTGTACACTGCCTTGTTTTAGGAAAGTGACAAGCCATGAAAAAGGCAACTAATTCCTTAGTTTGGCCACTCCTCCACTGCAAGATGTTACTGCAAAACTCCTGACTAAGCAAAGTTCATGGTTACTCAGTTTTCTCATTGAACCAGTGCTTAATTTTGAAGAAAAATTTTTAACTGGAATATATGCTCTTCCAGTAGCACACACAAAAATCTCTATTTTGACTTCTCATCCACTTCAGAGACACTTGAAAGACATGCTTCAGAGTTATTGTACACGACTACTGTGCTTCCTTTCCCTTCTTTAAAGAACTTCCCTCCACAATTCCATGTCTTCATTATGCCACACATTATAACAGACCACAGACCTTGAGCAAGTAAACAACAGGAGACAAATGGTCCAACAACATTTGAGAGAAAATCAAGCCATATGGGTGAAAAAATGTTCTATCCATTTGTCCGTTCATTTGTTCAATCTCATCATCAAGCAACAGTTTTAGGCTTTAAGGACAAAGCATATGGAATGGTCTGCTTGGCAGCCAGAAGCAAGATTTTATTCAAATAGCAGTCATTAACTGGGAACTGGGGTTGTTTAGTCTGGAGAAGAGGAGGCTGAGGGGAGACCTTATCACTGTCTACAACTACCTGCAAGGGGGTTGTGGTGAGGTGGGTGTTGGTCTCTTCTCCCAAGTAACCAGCGATAGGACGAGAGGAAATGGCCTCAAGTTACACCAGGGGAGGTTTAGATTAGATATTAGGAAAAATTTCTTTACTGAGAGTGGTCAAACATTGGCACAGGCTGCCCAGGGAAGTGGTGGAGTCACCATCACCAGAGGTGTTCAAAAAACGTGTAGATGCAGCACTTTTGGACATGGTTTAGTGGGCACGGTGGTGTTGGGTTGATGGTTGGACTTGATGATCTTAAAGGTCTTTTCCAACCTTAATGATTCTGTGATAATATTTTTCCCTGATTTGGTTGTCCCAGCCTCTCCTCCCAATCATACAACATAATCTCTCCCAGTATTATTACAACAAGGAGCAAGATTAATCTGTAATTTTAGGCTTCTTAACACCTGTTTATTATAAACAAAGAACCAGGTTCTTTTGGGCAGACCACGACCTCCAGCAATCACAGGAAGTTTCTGAGATTTGGTAACAGCGTAACTTCAGATCAGAAATGCTGTTTTTCATGTGTAAAATTAACATCCATTTGTACTAGTTAACAATGGCCACTTGCATCTTGGGTACTTCATTGCAAAGCTTTGTATATGCCAGAACCATAAAACAAATGCCTGCAAGAGAGAAGTGTGGAGAACCAGGCACGTTGTAACTCCCAGCAATAGTGCAAATGGCAGCAGATCCAAACCACATCAACAGAAGCACCAGCTGAAGGAGGTGACTACAAAAGTTGCCTTAGTATCCCCAAGAAATCTATTGCATATTTTCAGTAAAAGTAGCCAAGAGATAAGACATTTTAATTGTGCAGTATCTCCTTCTTACAAAATTTAGTTTTTTCTTATTCTAATTACAAAACAATTCATCATCCAATTCAGTCCTTATGACCAAACTGCTTACATAAAAACAATTTTCAACTTACCCTAAAAGTCACCATAACCACAGCCCTAAGAAGATAAAACAAAATGGATTTTTTTTTTTAATCCAGAATTAAATTGTTTTGAAACAAAAGCTATCTTCATAAAATTGCCCAAGTCACTCAGTGGTCTAGTTATGATTTATGAAAGCCATTAGACCGTCTGACATTTTGAAAAAGAGGTCACTAGGACAGTAAACTAGCAGCATTTTAGTAGATGTGGGGGATGTGAAAAGGGGATAATTACCAGAAAACATGACGTATTTAGCATGGTGTTATGTCACAGCACATAGTACTTTATTGCTCTAACTTTACATTTCACAGTGCAAGATCTATTGTATATGTTCTGTTGATCAGTAAGTCTACTGTAGACACAAAGGCTCTTTTCCTTCTTCATATAATTAAAAAAAATTGTTATCTAATAATTAATTCGTGGTTTTGGCAGATTCTCAATATTGAAAATTCTTCTACCCAAACATGCGATCAAGTTCATGACCAAGTTTCTCTTGGTGTTACTTCTATAACGACACTAACAGTACAGGGCGTTAAACCACATTTCATGTTTTTGTTCTTGGGCAAGTTGAAACGAGGCAGATAGACCAAAAAAGCATGCTTTAAGCTACATTTAAGTGGATATGGCCGAACACGTATGTGAAACATTCAGATACCTGGCAGGAAGTAACTTCCTATCCAATGCTGCAAAAACTACAGTGTCGGTAGGCCGGCAAGCGTATGACGCGTGGCAAGTTAGGCCCTGCGCCAAATAACCGACAGAAATGTCTACCTACCATTAAGTATTTTTAAGGATCACCAAAACCCGAAAACCAAATCACATTCACTCCACCTGTCCATAAAACACAATAGCCTTTTTTATGCCAACCTCCAAAACATTTTAAAGGTCATTTATTAATAGAAGCATGAAGGTGTTTTGAAGAAAATACTGTTTATAATTGCAATGCAGCAAATGGAGGGGAGGGAGAGGGCCTAGGCATTTAGCTGGCTGTACAGGATACACGGAAGCCTCTCCAGCCCACCGAAAAAGGCTCACAAATGGCAATTTTCAAAGGGCCAAGGCAGGCACGGGCTGAGTCAGCTCTGCACCTGCTGTTCTGTAGCAGGACGGAGCTGGATCTCACCCAGCACGGCCGCAAAGCAGCTCTGAAACAATTTGGCGCGCAGTTAATTTAGAGGAGTAGTCTCATACCTCTCAAGAAATACGCAGCTCTTGCAATTTCTACTTACGTAATTAAGCAGGTAACTGGAAGTAATTTGCACACTAGCTTGCATCTTAAGAAGGGAAACAGGTGGCAAACAGGACATCCATACCCGGTCCAGGCTCCCAGAACCAGGGTGTTTACATTTAAACCACAAAATTTCGTCTCTGTGGCTGGAGATTTCAAGGAAACCCAAGCTCAGAACCCACCTGTTACTGAATTTGAACTGCTTTGGAAAAGCCCATCCCCAAACACATTATCATCGTTAGTCCTCACGCGTGTTTCCAGCTACCGAAAGCTGTGTCCGGCAACCATCCTCCCCACGCTCTGCGCAGCCACGTGATCGCTGCCAAAGGCGGGCTCTGGGATCATAACGCACGTTTAAATCATCAAACAAAAAGGTATTCTGGTAGAAAGGGTTGTACAGAATAACCCGGCAAAACGGACACTTGGACAGCAAGCCAGTTTGGTTCTGCAAGGTAAATCGAGGAGTTTGGGAGCGCGCACGCTTGGATTTCAAAGCAAGAAGCTGAGGAGTCCGAACTGTGCAGGGTGCAGGGTGCAAGCTGCAGGAGGCTTCACGCTCCTCCCGAACTCGGCAACGCGCAGATCAGGGACTACACCGGGCTGGGCACGCCTGGTCCCTCCCCCTCGACTGCCTGTTCCCAAACCACAAACCATCACGCGGTGTTGGGGCTCCACAAAACGTGTCCCCACGGCCAAAATAAGATTCAAACCGTACTTAACTTTCTAAGCCAACCTGTGCCTAGATCATACTGTGAATCAAAATTCGCTGTACTTATGTCGAAATAGTCCGTGGAAATCTTAAGTTCAGCTATATCCATTTAACAGTGGCAACAGAAAGCTGATTAGCAGGTGTGTATTTAAGCAGATTATTTTCAGATAAAGCTACCGCAAGAATGCTTTTCTTTTACCTCCTCGTCAACAAATGAGGTCTGCCTGACTTTATTTATTTATTGATTTAACTTTTTAAAAATAATTTAAAAAAAAATCTTTTAAAAGCTAGATAGAATTGAAGACCTGTGTAGTTTTTAACTTCTGTGATTAAATCCACTCCCTTTACATGCTGAGAAGTACACGCAGGCTAGACGGCTGACGCGGTTAAGACAAAGGAGCTGCATGAAGATAAGTGCTTTCACTGAAACCACGGTCTGGAAACCTTGCAAAGGGACGCAGGCCTGAGGCTGCCATTCAGATGCTCCTGCAGAGCTGACCCAGGGAGATCAGCTCCGTGAGGGGAACGGCTGACAACCTGGTCCAGCAGCACGCCAGGCAGCATGCCCGGCTGACAGCTCTGGGCACTTGGGCACTGCAGATCCATCAAGCTCAGTTGCATTTGAAGTTTTTTCTAGCTAACAACCTACTGAGTGGCATATTCTTGCAACAGGAGTCCCACATAGAAGATCAGCAGGCTGTTAATCAAAATCAGGAACATAAGAAGTTTATGGGAAGCTCATTTAAGAGTGAGGCACCCTTAGAAAGAGCTAAGCTTTCAAAAAAACACCAAAAAGACCCAACCCAACCCAACCCCAAGAAGTGGTAATGGGCAAAAGTGCTGGCTAGCTTTTGGTCTGCAAATTTAAGCCAGATCTTCCTTTTCCTGATAAGTGACAAGCGTAGTAACTAGGTTGATAAAACAAAAATAATATTGAAGATGCAAGAACATGGAAGAGTAGAGAGTTCCCTGCTCTGACAGCAATCCTTCTGAAGCCATTTTCATGATAAGGTAAACAAATGAGTTTGCCCAGGAAGTCACACGTATGTATATTATAAATATTATAAGCTAGATTTATTCTTTTTTTTAACACAACTTTGTAGGAATGCAAGAAGCCCATTTCCACACTAAAACTCTAGTTTTGTTACTTTAGTGTGACAGAAGTGCCGGCTGCAGCTGATGGGGGACACAACCCTCCACCCTGCCGCTCCTTTCCCTTTCTCTGCTCCGGCACTGGTGCTCCTCCACCCACGTGCTGAGCCAGGCAGCTTTGGCAAAACAGTACTTCAAGCCACTCATTTTCAGCTGACTTGGGTCCCTGGGCAGCTCACGGCACGGCTCAGCGCATGGCTGCCCGGGCGGCAGTGCCGGCACAAGGCAGGACAGAGGGACACTGAGGCAGAGGGAAGGCTGGGCTCTTTCAAAGCCAGCCCCCACCGAGACCTGCCCAAACCAACTGCAAAACTGCAATCCAGGTGCAGTAGGAAGGCTAAAGGATGCGGCTTGACAGATGCCAGACTGTACCAAGCTCTAATAAAAGCTTCAGCTTTTTAGTACTAAGCTTCCAAGACAAAACGCTACGCGTTTCTGCAGTGTCTTTGGTACTCTCATCTACCTATTTAGGCTTTCTCTGCTTGTGATACTCCCCATTCACACATTTGCAATTTTATACAGTATCAAATAAAGCTCCCAGAATGCTGCATTTTAACATAAGCCTCTAAATGGGACGACAGCAATTGTGACGAGTGGAGAAGCTGTGCTCTGTTGCTTCAGCTGGGGACACAGTTACCAGGGGAAGCCCACCTTATTAATCAGCGCTAGAAGATAAATCCTAACATTAAATGTCCCACCTGCATGTAACAAGACCTACATTCACACTCAAGTTTGGCTGAAACAATACTCAACTCCCAAAGCACGTGAAAATTAACATTTTCAACTTTTCAATAGTAAGTGATGTATCTGAAACGGCTCCACAAACACTGCTTCTGCTTTCTAAGCTTTTTTAAAGGGGCTTCATCATAACAGAAGCGCGCTTTTATAAAATACTAGCTTCACTTTCAAGTGCTATCAGTTTCAACCCAGTGACTTTCTGCACTCCACAAGACGGTTCTGCTTTGAGTTCAAATAAATTATATGAAGTTACCATTATAAGCAGTTAAATCAGGCTTCAGAGTTGGCAAAACTAGCCCCTGCACATTATAGCTCAATTTCATATTACAGTCATCCACTAGGATGAGTTCAAAGGTTTAACCTCATTAGCCTGATAGCATTTCCTTCTGTTATTTTTACGTTCATTCACCTACAAACCACTAAGGCAAAATGGAGATTTTGCGCAATATATTTTACAGGTTTATGAATTATTGCCTGCAAATCTCCAGGAAGACAGCATACAAATAAGTTAGGGATCAAATACAAGAATACACACTGTCAGCCATCCTCCCATTTTTAAGAAAGCGAGTGCTTTGGTCATCAGACACGTGTTTTGCGAGGAGGCCCTGCTAGGCACAGTCAGATCAGTGCCAGGAATTTGGTGAACCTGGGGTCACGCTGTCAGGGCTCCAGAGAAATGCAGCGATTAAAGCATCTAAGCAGAATTCAGTCAGGGAATTAAATGACTGCCATTACAATACCAGGGCATCTGTTTTGCTGCGTTTCTGTTCTCATGAAGAATACAAAAATAAATTCTTACCTAGTTCTCCTCGAAGGTTAACTAGTTCTTGAGATAACTCTTTATGCTGTTTCAGTGCTTCCTCCCTCTGCAGAGAAAAAAAGGCAAATAAATCCAAACATTTGGTTACTAGTGATCTGAGCAGGGCACCTTCCAATAATTAACTTACATGTGTTCTGCAGGAAAACAAGAGGCAGGAGCAAGAAGCCAAGATATGAATCATTTAGGATAACAGTTCTGCTGTTAGAAAATACACAGATGTTCTTCCGTTGTTAAGGAAGTTATACTTTAAAACAAAGAATAGCTTTTTCCAGGATAATACTGCAATTAAAATCCTACTTTGCAGCAATTAGTTATGTGTTTTACGATGGGTGTAGCAACATAAGCTTCCAGAACAAATCGACTGATAGCTGTCAAGGGCACAGAATTATGATATATATGTGAGAGAGGCATACATTAAAATAAGCTTCCAGAACAAATCAACTGATAGCTGTCAAGGGCACAGAAGTATGATATATATGTGAGAGAGGCATACATTAAATGTTTACCTTAAGCTTACTCAAACACAAAACCAAAAACTTTGCTTAATGCTCAGTCTTCCAAGAGGGAAAGGCACAGCCCTGTTCAAAGTTGAATGCAACCCACCCCACTGCTTGCAGTTCTTAATTTTAAGATAGATGTTCCTTATACTGAGAGAATCATAACAAATCTGTGCTCAAAACAAGCAGAACCACCCACCTCCCTGCTTTGCGTAGGAGCTGCACCTTGGCCAGGGGAAGGCGGCCGGCCAGGCCCCTCTGCCCCAGACCCGCACCCCAGGGAGACGCGCAGGCAGGGCCGCAGCAGAGCCATTCCACGGCTCGGCGACCGGCACCTGACGCCCATGGCGTGGAGGTGACAAGGTCCAGGCTTCCCACTGCCAGGGCGCCTTCACCTCGCTCCCAGCCAAGCTCCCGTCCAGCTCCCTGCCATCGGAAAAAGCACTGCGAAACAAATACGAATTACCCTTGCTGCAGCACACTGAGAATAGAGGCACAGTTTGCTGCTAGAGCAGCCCATCTTCCAGCTCCGGCAGCCCCCCGCTCGGCCCCCTGCTCCTCA